GGAAACTTTTGTGAATGACTCTCCCTGCATTGTGGGTTCAGAGACAGGGCCCTCTGGTCCTAAAGGTGGCCCCAGGGGAGGTCCTGTGGAGCTGGGATCTCAAAAACAAGGACAGCAGTAGGCACAGATGAGTTGCTGTCTAAGTTCTCCCCCAGTTCCTCATGAGATACATTGAATGAAGGGGTTCAGAGTGCGTCTGGGGAACCTGGTGGGGACAGGCCACCCAGTGAGCTTTAGTCAGTGTTTTCCAAAGCCCCAAAAAGAGCACCATTGCTATTTACATTTCAGTGTAAATCAAGCTGCCTTCAACTAGCAAGGCTGTGTAAACTTGTGTTTAATGTCAGGTTTATATTAACATTTGCATTAACAAGATTGATCGTTTACATAACAATGCATACGTAAAGTCTGGGCTAGGTTTGGGTTTACACACATTTGCATAATGTTTACAGATTGATTGATTAGACAAACTGTGCATAAATCCAGGTCAACTGTTAGTTGTTTGTTTATTTTTCCTATTGGGACTTTGTAGCCTATATCTTAATAAATGGGTGAAACTGAACCTGAGTCCTTTATTACAACCTTTATAGGAGATTTAGTCATTCTGAAAAGTAATTTTCACTGAAAAAGAGTGAGATGAAATCATTGGGGCTATTTTTTCCTTTAATCTCTAGCACTGAGTGGTAAGAACAGGGACACTGGCTTTAAACTATGCTCTAATGGAGATAAAACCCGGACGTAGGCAGAAAATCTAGATTCAAGACTACTTCTGGGGCTTCCCTGGTGGCGCAGTGGCTGAGAGTCCGCCTGCCGATGCAGCAGACATGGGTTCGTGCCCCGGTCCAGGAAGATCCCACATGCCGCGGAGCGGCTGGGCCCATGAGCCATGGCCGCTGCGCCTGCGCGTCCGGAGCCTGTGCTCCGCAACGGGAGAGGCCACAGCAGTGAGAGGCCCGCGTACCGCAAAAAAAAATGGGTTAAAAGTACAGGGGAAAACAAGAGGAATGGTAGCAAGGAGATGAAGTAGAAGTTCCCATTGAATAAGGCAGCCTAGAATTAAAGAGTGTCAGCCAGCACCTCCTGGGGGACGCATACCATTCTTTTCAAAATACTTTGCACTCTTCAGAAGATTCTTTCTTACTTCAAGTGTGTTGAAGAATTGGCAAGGCTGGTCTTTCTGGGAAGAACCCCAAGGGCAATATTTTAGGGCATTTGAGCTCATGAAGACGATGGACATTGGCAGACTCCCATCCTGGAGCCCATTCGACACCTACCAGTGGGTCTTGGTAGTGTGATTTTTAAGCACCCATAAAGATCAAGCTTTATTGATGGGGAAAACATACTATGTCTTTGGAAGCGGTCCGTGTTTTGTGCAAAGAGAGTATACACGATGTTCCAACTATAGATAACTGACCCAGGAGTCCTCTGGGGCTATCTCAGCTTCGAACATAAACGTCTGAAGAACTCATTAAAAACAGCATGATTGACATCTAAGTTATGTCGCTTATGCCTGCATTTCAGATGCTCCACTGGGTCAGAGACCAAATTATTTTCACTACGTGGGATGAAAAGATATTCGCAGTTCTTTTTCAGTTTGCTTTGTGCATGTGTGTGTGTGTGTTGTTGCCTGTTTGTTATTTTTTATCTCCAGTTCATCGAGCTTGAATTCTTTTCTGTACCTTTACATCCCTACACACAGGAAAGAGGGGGTATTGACGTTGACAGTCCCCTGACTTGCTGGGGAGATGTGCAACGTTATATGTAGCACTTGGAGAGGTTATCTCCTACATGCCCTTCCCCTCTACCTAATGTATGTGTGCATACACGTGCACGTGCATAACACACATACACACACATACACGTACACACAGATTTGTATACTAATGCCCCAGACCGCCTGAGCCCAGTCTACCTTTTGCCACTTGCCACCCTCCTCTGTCACTCCTGCCAGGGAGAACATGGGCAGACATCACCGTGTTTTCCTCTCGGCAGCGCTTCTGTTTGGAATACTGTTCCCCTGCCCCTCTCCTCTCTCCTTCACCTCCCCACTCACCCTCTTTCACTGGCTGACCCATAGCCACCCTTCGGATCTCATTTTCTCAGAGAGGCACCTACTTTAATTAGAACGCTGCACTTTTTGTCCGGTCATCCTCCATGTTCAGAGGTGCCCTGGGGATGCAGGGGCAGCCTCTTCAGCCACAGTGTGGGACCTGGTCAGCCTGGGCAGGGGTGAGACTACAGCACCAGCAAAGGGGTTGCATCTGTTGATTTCTCTTCCTGAATTGTTCTCTCACTTCAGCCCTGTTTCCTCCATCTTGGTTCAGATCACCATTAATATCCCATGAACTACAACAGCAGCCTTTTTACTGGCCTGCCTTACATCTCACCCCTGCCCAACCTGGTCAGGAGACACAGAACCATCCTTACCCTCGAGCTTCTTTCCAGGGCTGTGCACTGCATAGGGTCCAGCTCTGGCTCTCCTCAGCGGTGCCCCTCCCCACAAACAAAGGGTCTACCTGCTAAGGGGATGTTATCACCAAAGCCTGTGGACCCCTACCCCAAGCCCAAATACACAAATAATTCTAGACTGTGGTCCAGAAACCCAGGACCCTGCATTCCTGACACTCCAGCCCTGAGCCCCTTCTGGTCCTGCAGAGGACCCCTCTCTGGGTCCATTCTCCTGGAGGCAGAGCTGAGACCAGCGTACACACCACCAGGCCTGAGGGGTCTGCCTGGGAGTGAACTGTGGACGGAGCCAAGTGGGGCAGAGACTGGGGTGAGAAGACATGAGGAACAGGCAGCAGGCAGAGGGCCCCGCTGGTGGGAAGGGCAGGCCTGAGGGCACTCCCCTGCTTTGAACCCTCCAGGACTACTTGCTGCCCTCCGGAAGCCATCCAAACTCCTCAGCATGTGACGTAAGGTCCAGAAGTGTCTCTCCTTTCCATACTTCTCCAGCTTCTGCCACGTCTCCAGGCTTCCCTCTCAAACTGGCAATCCAGAATTACTAAATGATTTGCATACCCTTCGCAGATAATTTACCCTATTCTAGCATTATTTCTTTATTTTCTGATCCCCTTCCTCCCCTCTGCTCCTTCAGGGCAAGCACCAGGATCCATCATGCACTAGTGTCTCCCCAGCACCCAGGACTGGGCTCGGCATATAGCAGGCTCTTGGGAAATATAGGGGGGCGGGGGGGGGAGGGAAGCAGGGAGGAGCCACGAGAGCTGGGTTTTCTGCCTGTGGGACCATAGCACAGAACCTCTAAGCAGCCCCATCCATGCTGCAAGCTTCCGAGAGTGCTACCTGGTATAGGTTTGGGCTGGGAATGGGAAAGAGAAATGACGGAGGTAAAGAGCACATAATAGCACATGTAACAAGAAATGTTTACACGGAGAAAACAGTGAGAACAAGTCCGTGTTAGAAGTTCCTCCAGATTTGGAAGCCCCAGACCCCATGCTGGCTCCACCGTGAGCTTGCTGGGTGGACTATAATTCAGGGGTTGCCCTGGGTCTAAATTCTGAAACTCCTTTAAGCTCTAGGTCTAGGACACTGGTGTGTACACAGTGAGTCCTGCATAAGGAATACAGAGAAATGGTTTAGGTTAATTAAAAACACAAACAAAACACATTTTCAGTTATTTTTCCATTTGCTGGCACCTTTTTTTTTTTTTTTTTTCCATTTTGAGAAGCATGTTCCCAGCATAGCCCGGCATTTAGGCTTTGGCAGACAGGTACATTATTTTAATGGTTCCACCACTTACAATCTGTGTCAGAGGTCAGTGAACTTTTCCTGTAAAGGGACAGATAGGAAATATTTTAGGCTTCGTAAGCCTGAACTTCTCAACTCTACCTTTGTGCAGCAAAAACAGCCACAGACCATGCATATCTGAATGGACATGGTCGTGTTCCAATAAAACTTTATTTACAAAAACAGACAATAAGCTGATTTGGTCCACTAGCCATAGTTTGCCAACCCCTGTTCTCGGTGATCTCGAGTACATCAAACCTTATCTGAAGAAAAATTGGGAGATATAATACCCACTGTATAGCAGTTGGAACAATGTTATACGAAATTACCTTGACATTTTTAATGAACTAAACCACTAGAGAAATGTACACCAGTAGTAGTAACAGTAATGTAAATATGTTATAGTTAGTCCTATTAATAAATCACATGGATTAAGTACCCACTGTAAACGAGGTGCAGTGCTTTCATTATTTTCCTCCATCCTCACCAAAGATCTTGCAAAAAAAAGAAAGCGTTACTGTCCAATTGACTGATGAAGAAACTGAGGCTCAGAAGCTGGCTCAGAAGTTACACAGGTGGCTGGCGGCAGGGCTGAATTCTGACTAAGAGCAGTTTCCACATCCAAAACAGTGGCCTCAAAAAAAGAAGCGGAAATGTGTGAGGGGTTCAAATAATAGATGAATAAATGGGCTCAAATAGATGGGCCCCGGTTGTGTTTAGACAGGAGGGCAGGACCAGGTAATATGCCCTGGCTCTCGAATGATGGCCAGCACTTGCCATGGCCTCTGGGGCTGCACGCACTTCCCTGGAGGAGAGAGGCTTTTTCTGAGCAGGGTCCCATATTTAAATCCTGAACAAAGCAAGCTACCTATGGTGGGCTCTGCCAGCAGTGGAGGGTTAGCCTTCCCTACGAGGGATTTCCTGAGTCACAAGGCAGCCCTCCAGAAATTTCTGGGCCTGCCTCAGCCCCGAGGGGAGGCTGGAGCAGCCGGTACCACTTGAACGCCGAGTCCCCTGCCTGGAGGAGGCCAGATTTAGCAATCTGTGACACACAGCCCGCCTCATCGTGACACCGGTCTCAGAGAGGCAGGCAGCGCGGGCAGACAGAAAAGCATCTGTCGGCATGCCATGCAGACAGGGATGAGAGAGGCCGGGGGAGGATAATGATGGCTTTTGCTTTCCTATAAAGTGCGTGTCAGGAGGAAAGGATTAAGCTAACTGAAGAAATCTCCAGCACTTACGTCAAAGGTGGCTGCAAAGCGATTGCTTTATCTTGCATCTCACCTGCTTCTGAGAGCCCGGCTTGAGGAGGCCTACCCACATCTCCACTTTGTCCCCAGCAACTCTTTTCAGAAATAGTTGGAGTTGGCGTCAGCCATTCTGCAAAAGAGATTGGAGCTAAAAATAAGCTCATGATAAGGAGGATTCCTCCCCGTCTTTTTCTTTTTTGCTTTTTTTTTTTTAACTTCCAAAGCTCACATCATGTTTCCCAGAGAAAGATGGAGAGCTGATTTTCCCGAGGTTTTACATATTTGTGGACGTGTAACAGGCAAAATAAATTTCACTGAGGGTGTGCATGCTACACAGGGACAGGTGGCAGCCGTCTCAAACTCTTTTTTTAATCTCTCTGGAACATTAACTTATGCTCCTGGGGGTCTTGTCATGTGCAAAGAGGAAACACAGACTTCAGAATCATTTACCACTGATCTCCCGTCCTGTACCACCTCAAGTCCCAAACATCTCCAAACCCAGAACCAAGCTGAAAGCCATAGGTTTTTGTCTTCTGTCACACGAATGCAACTTGGTGTTGGGGGTTGCCATGTGACAGATTTTGAGATCCTCTTTGTAATGAATTTGGAAACACAGTATATCATCAGAAAGGTTTCCTCTTCTTTTAGTTCAAGGTATGATACTACGTCTACTCAAACACTGTTTGACAAATGACCTATTTCCCAACAAATAAAATATCACGTCTGAAAAATATAGCCAGGTGCCTAATTTTTGCCATGATGTATTCTTCAACTGCCTTAGAAAATGGATTGCCAGATGAATCCAGAGATATTTGTGTGAGTGCTTGGGACTGGAAACCGGCTTCATTCTCTGTCACTTTCTAGATTTCTGACCTTGGGTGAGTTATGTCCACTCACTTTGACTCTTCATTGGTATCATGGGGGAATAACGCTGACCACACAGAGTTGTCATGAAGGTTAGATGAGATGCTCAAGAATGGCAGGTAGTAGGAACTAACCTCACTGTCTTATCTGCCAGAAAGGCATGAGATATTGTATTAGTCAGGGCTCTCCAGAGAAACAGAAACAATAGGATGTAAATATGTATATATATAGATTCATATATATATAAAGAAAGAGAGAAGAGAGTGAATTTTAAGGAATTGGCTCCGGCAGTTGTGAGGGCTGGCAAGTCCAAAATGTGCAGGGCTGGCTGTCGGGCTGGAAATTCCTGCAGGAGTTATGTTACAGTCTTGAGTCCAAAGATAGTCGGGAGGCAGAGTTTCTTCATCTTTGGGGACCTCAGCCTTTTTCTCTTAAGGGTTTTAACTGATTGGCTGAGGTCCATTCACATTAGGAAGGATAATCTGCTTTACTCAGACTCTTACTGATTTAAATGTTAATCACATCTTTAAACAATTGTTTTTTACAGCAACGTGTAGACGGGTGTTTGACCAAACCCCTGGGCACCATAGCTTAGCCAAGTTGACACGTCAAATTAACCATCACAGGTATGTTATCTCTTACTTCAGGGAACATCATACCTAACCAAGCAGCGAGCATGGAACAAAGCTTAGATTAACACACCATTTATCAAGGCACAACAAGAACACAAAAGATACAGCAACCCATCACCTGCTTAGCCCCTGCCTCCCAGGACCTATCAAAAGTCAAGAAAGAGGAAGACGCCCCAGTGTGATGGAAAGCACTCCGTGCTCACAGCTGGCCTCGCTCAGAGCTGGCGTCGCCAGTTCTAGCCCCCTCTGCCCCGGGTGAGTGTGTGGCTTTCAGGAAGTTCACTGGATGTCTCTGAACTTCCTCAGCTGCAACTCATAATAAACACATCTGCCCTGCCTACCGTACAGGGCAATCGTGAGAGTAAAATGAGGCAACTGTTGGGCGGGGCTTTGTAAGTAAGCCATCAAGAGCCCTAATATAAGTAATGCATTATCCTACAAGGATGTAATGCTCTGGACATATGGAGTCCAGTTATCTGTACCAAAGTAAATAAAAGGCAACTCTACTAGGTCATAATATTAGCTGATATCATCATTAATGTTTTCAATTAAAGTTAATCTTCTCACTGTCTTGGGATTTCAAATGGCTTTTTTGGGAGTGAATTCAGCAACCGAGTTGTCTGAACACTGACTTTCCCCCGCCTCAATAACTTTTCATAACATTTGAGCAGAGCTCAAGCATTTGAGCAGCGAGTATTTCATTGCATTTGAGCAGGGCTCGAAGCAACAGGTCTAACAAATGTTTGTTGTGAGTAACTCATTCACTACAGAGATATTTAAGGAGCCCTCACCATGTGCCGGGCACCATGCTGGGCTTTGGTTGGAGGGGGTGGGGACTTTGAGGGCTGAGCCCAGCCACGGTACAGCGTAAGTGCTTGACAAATGCCAGTTATTTATTTTTTGTTCATATCTTACTATGTGATCATTTTTGAAAAAGAAAGACAGGATTACTGCTTTAAAATATAGATAAAATATAGACAAGTCTGAGCCAACCTTCCTCCCAACCTCGGCGTCTTTTCCAGGCCTGCAGCTCAGCTTCCGTTCACTATCATTCAGGAACCAAGATGACTGAGGCAATCATTCTTTGGAAAGCTTCACCATCAAAGGAAATTGTCCTGTGTTGTCTCTTAGAACACTTCACACTTCATTGGGAAGCTATAAAAACAATTACCAGGTCATTAGTAAAGGTTATTATTTTTTTTTAAGATCCAAAAACATCTCTCCCAGAATGACCTTAGCCAGCCTTTCAGTGAGAGATGGTTGCTGCAGTGAAAAGAGTGAGAGCTTCGGAGTGGAGACTGAGGGTCCCAGCACTGAGTGTTTAACCTTCTCCAAGCCATAGTCCCTTGATTCTATGCTGAAGCTGGGACCCCTTCCCGGTATCATTGGGATGTTTGTGCAGTTGAAATAAAGTGGCTTTGCGAATAACACCCTGAATTACCCTGGGCACTTGGAAAGCACTCTGTAAATGAAATTCCTTCCTTTCCCTGGTTTCACGTTGCCTGTGTCTGAAGTCAGAGGTATGAATGGATAAAGCAGGAAGGATTGAAAGAGACACTGGATCCATCAGGATAGGCTAGGTTGTGCTACAATAACAACCTGAAGATCTCAGCAGCTGAAAAACATTGAGTTTAAATTTCTGACTCACACCCCATGTCCATCATGGGTTGACAAGGGAGCTCTACTCACCAGGGCCACTCATAACCCGACAGAACTTGAAAGATGTGCCATTTTGTTACATGATTCTAAGAACACAGAGGGGAAAAAAAAGAATATGATGAATCGTTTGCTGGCTCTTAAAGTTTCTGCCTGGAAGTTATACACATTAATTCCACTCACATTTCATTAACTAAAGCAAATTATGTAGCCACAGTTGAGATCAACAGGGTAGGGATACGTCATGCTGCCATGGCATGGACTGGCGGTCTAAGAATGGACCATCGTATAGGAACTTGGACCAAGCCAATGCCCATCTGCGATAAACAGTAGGTGGAAGCCTGGCAAAAGCTGAGGCTTTGAATATGGTCCATCCTATCACACCAACTCTGGAGAACTTTTTTTTCTGTTCCAGACTCATGTGAGGATCTGATGAATGGTATAGGATCCCTCCCCAGGGAAAAATGTTCATGAAACATAGTGGGAAAAAATTACATGCAATGAACTTATTACATTAGAAATCTATTTACTCCATCTATGTTCAATCTTTAAAACAAAAAATTTCTCTCACTTTTATTTGATTATTCAAAAATTAATGATTCATTCCAGGAAGAAAAATAAGTGCAATAAAACAAAAGTCAACCTTAAATCTTCTCAAAAGTAAATTTCAATTTAAAAAACTTGATGCTTGCCTTGAAATAGAAGTTGAAACTGTAATATACAGTTTGAAATGGCCTTTGCATGTCGTCTTTGATATCCAGTCAGTTTGATTTTTCCTTTGGAAAATATTAAATGCTAACTCACAGAAGAATCAGCGCCCCTAAAACTTTTTGCCAATTGAGGGAAGACTTGTGCCAAGGAAAAACAGCATTCTCCAAGACAAGGTTTGGATCACAGATCCTAATTTTGGAGGGCAAGTAACAAAATATCTAGGTAAAATGGTTTAGATCCTAAGAATGTATGTTTTTAACCAGGTAATCTGAAAAGAAGGAGTTCCAGTGTTAGTTTAGTAGCTCAACAATGTCAGAATTCTGGGTCAACTTCTCTACAATTCTCTTGGCCTCCCCATCGTGGTCACAAAATGGCTGCAGCAGTTCCAAACAGCACATCTTCATAGGACATTGTATTAAAAGAAATGTAAACAATTCCAGAGGGATGTTGCTATTTGACAGAGGTATCGCTTCAATTTTCTTTATCTGCTCCAAGTCCCAAATAAACTAGGTCAAATCCACAGAGCAAGGAGTTCCTCAAATCTCTCTAACTATATATGGCTTCTTTCACTTGAAAGGTGAATAAGCAATTGTGTAAGATATTTCAACAAAAGAATTTTGTGCTGAGACAGTACAAGTTTCCACACAGTTTGAGCCTTTTAAGATCAAGCCTTCTCATGAAAAATGTCTGCATTGTCCAATGTATTTTCAGGGTGGACAGACATAATTTTGCCACACCATGGGCACTGCAGCTTTTTGGAGGTAGTGGATGGTGGGAGTCCTTATCATGTTCACTGATAAAAGTCTGAACAAAGGATATATGTAAGTGTGGACATCACTTTTTTTTTTTTTTTTTTTTTTTTTGCGGTACCTGGGCCTCTCACTGTTGTGGCCTCTCCCGTTGCAGAGCACAGGTTCCGGACGCACAGGCTCAGCAGCCATGGCTCACGGGCCCAGCCACTCTGTGGCATGTGGGATCTTCCCGGACCGGGGCACGAACCCGTGTCCCCTGCATTGGCAGGCAGACTCTCAACCACTGCGCCACCAGGGAAGCCCAACATCACTTCTTTTCCTTGATATTTTCCAACTTAAGCTGGACCCAACTTAAGAAAGGCAGGAGTGCAGACTCACAATGACGGGGAATATTGTGGTCCATTCCTATCAGAGGGATGCTCCTCTCGCCAACAGGAAGTCAGGGTAATCTCTAGTGTGTCTATTACCAAGTAACATCCTTCCCATGCTACATTTGTTTGTAGCGAAACCACACATCAAAAATATTTTTACATTTAAAATGAATATGTTACTCTCACAAAGATAATCTACAAAGTGACACCAAAGAAAAGAAAAGACTTATCTTCCCACCAGGAGATCACTCATGGACCACAGGTCAGGAAATCTGCTTGCGAACAACTCCCTTCTTTTCCTAGTGGAACAGAATAGTAAGTGCTACCCTCAGAGTTCTAAGAACTAGTTTTCAACCCTTCACTCACCTCTTGCTCAAGGGGTAGATAAATCAGGATTGAAAGAGAGAGTGAGGGTCTCTTTGGATGCACCCAGTGGAGAGGGGAAAGTATAGTCTGCAGTGATGCACATGGGGGTCATGGGTTTGAATCCCAACTTCCCTGCTTTCTACTTCTGCAAATTTTATTCAATCAACTATTCTCTCCGAACTTCAATTTCCTTATCTTAAAAAATGAAAGTCTTCATTACCCTCAGGGGGATTGAGCAGTTAAAAATGACTAAAGTTGGTATTGTGTTAGTGACTAAAAGTGACCAAAGAATATCTAATTATCTAAGAGTGACTGGTGAGTTTCCACCCACAGGCAGGGGAAGGACCCTTCTCTTACCCAGGGAGCATATTTAATGGGAAGGTGGGAGAATGGCAAAGCTGGTGTATAATTCTATCCCCTAGACTTGTTCACAGTATCTGTTTCCTATAGAAATGCACGTGAGATGTAAGCTGAGTGCCCCCGCCACTCTGGGTATTTTATCCCTCGTTAGAGGCAGCAGTGCAGGGAGAGCAGTCAAGACTCAAATTTGGGGCTTCCCTGGTGGCGCAATCGTTGAGAATCTGCCTGCCAATGCAGGGGACACCGGTTCGAGCCCTGGTCTGGGAAGATAGCACATGCCGCGGAGCAACTAGGGCTGTGAGCCACAACTACTGAGCCTACGTGTCTGTAGCCTGTGCTCTGCAGCAAGAGAGGCCGCGATAATGAGAGGCCCGCGCACCGCGATGAAGAGTGGCCCCCGCTCGCCACAAATAGAGAAAGCCCTCGCACAGAAACGAAGACCCAACACAGCCAAAAATAAATTTTAAAAAAATTAAAAAAAAAAAAGACTCAAATTTGTAGGCAACTCACATCAGCCCGTCAAACCCACCAGGAGAAAATGTTCTGTCACCCTTTGGTCTCTAGATGCTTCAACTTAGCTGTGGCAACAAATGGGATGGGCAAGACAATGTGGAAGGCACCAATACTAGGTTTCTTTATCTTAGTTTAGGCCAGGGGGAGAACCAATAGCCACGTGAAAGTCCAAGCTCACAGCTCCATGTCTTGGGCAAGTCACTCAGCCTCTCGTCTTCTCCCACCCTTTCCATTTACTTTAGCTGCGTGTGGTTTGGCTCCTTATAATGTCACTAGGATGAGCAGAGGAGCACGATTAGCAGGGTGGCCAGGAAAGAAGCTGGTGCCATCCATTCTTAGCTGAGACCGCTAACCCCCATGACAGTCTCCAGCTGTGTCCCAAACGCACTTCCTCTTGTTGTTGTCAGATTGTGGTCTTATATATTTTCGCCATATTGCTCATATGTCTTCCTAATCAAACATATTCTTCCATATTCCACTTAGTGAATATACTCATTTCCACATACACAAGCATATGGTTCTTTATGTGTAAAAATGAATATTTGTAGGTGAACCGTCTTATCTATATGTTTTATATACTTATTATTTAATCCAATAAATGTCCTTCCCCCTGTACAATAGATTAAGATCTTGAATACTAGCCATCTATCTCCCTCTTGTGATAAGACTTCTGATAAATGTTTATCTCCCTTTAAAAGAAACCCATTTCAGGGCTTCCCTGGTGGTGCAGTGGTTGAGAGTCCGCCTGCCAATGCAGGGGACACGGGTTCGTGCCCTGGTCCGGGAAGATCCCACATGCCGTGGAGCGGCTGGGCCCGTGAGCCATGGCCGCTGAGCCTGTGCGTCCGGAGCCTGTGCTCCGCAACGGGAGAAGCCACAGCAGTGAGAGGCCCACGTCGATTCCCTCTCTGTGGTCACTCACATCAAACATAAGAGAAGGGACTTCCCTGGTGGCGCAGTGGTTAAGAATCCGCCTGCCAATGCAGGAGACACGAGTTCGAGCCCTGGTCCGGGAAGATCCCACATGCCGTGGAGCAACTAAGCCCGTGTGCCACAACTACTGAGCCTGCGCTCTAGAGCCCGCGAGCCACAACTACTGAAGCCCGTGTGCCTAGAGCCCGTGCTCCGCAACAAGAGAAGCCACTGTAATGAGAAGCCTGCACACTGCAGGGAAGGGTAGCCCCCGCTGGCCACAACTAGAGAAAGCCCGCACACAGCAACGAAGACCCAACGCAGCCAAAAATAAATATAAAATAATAAATTTATAAAATAAAAAAAGAGAAAAATATTATCTGAAAATGCAAATTCGTAGCCCTTCTCCCACCCCCTCATCCTCAGTTAACAGGGCAAACTCTGACATAATTTACTCTGCATTTTTCTGTCTTATCCCCTCCACCGCCCTTCTTGGCCCCTTGCAGACAGATCT